TTACAAGTGGTGGCGGGCCTGTGTCTGAGCTCCAGCCATGGGGGTTGGGAGGAGAAATGCTATGTGCCACTAACAAGCCTGGCCCATAAACCCCCTTGTCTCTGAGTCGCTGTGCTTTTCCCCATCCCTGGCTTCTCAGAGGACTCGCTTGTAGCCTGGCAGAGGCCCCGGCCCCTGAGTGACCTTACAGAAGGCTGCCCACTGATCAAGTGTTCTCTTTTGGAAGTTCAATTAGGTCAGAAATATACTTCTATTCTGTGAAGCCATGAGATCCAGGGGTTTGTCTGTTATAGTGGTTGACATTACCTACAAGGTACAAAGTGCTATCAATAGCTAATTTTTAATTTTTGCCAAGATTTTAGAGACGGACATCATTACTCACATTTTACATATGAGGAAGCTGAGACCCTGAGAGCTTCAGGAGCGCACAGCCAGCCAGCTGCTGCACCGGGGTTCTCACCACGCCTGGCTGGCCGAGGGACTGGGTTTTTATACACCACCTTTTTTTCTCCCATTATAAGGCTTCTTAACCAGGACTCTCCACTTTAGCCACTTGGCTTTATTCAATTAGCAGAGTCCAAATAGAAATAAGAAATGCATCTGAACACTTTATAACCATTAAGATGGCCATTATCATAAAAACAAAAAAATGACAAGTATTGGTGAAGATGTGGAGGAACTGAAGCCTTTGTACATTACTGGTGGGAATAAAATGGTACAGATGGAAACCATTGTGGCCATTGCTCAAAAATTAAACATAGAACCGCCATGTGACCCAGCAATTCCGCTTCTAGGTGTATGTCCAAAAGGATTGAAAGCAGGGGCTCAAACAGCTGTTTGCACACCTGTGTTTACTGGAGCACTGTTCATGGCAGCCAAAGGGGAGGAGCAATGCCGTTGCTGAGGAGCAGAGTGATAGCAACGGCTGATACGTACTGAATGCCTTCTGCATGCAAGGCTGTGCAATAAGTGTTTCTTAGTTATTTTCTCATTAAACCTCACCACAGTTCTAGCAGAAGGCACTGTTTTATCCCAGTTTTAGAGCTTCACCGACCTCATCTGTAAGTGGACACTAAGGATACTTGCCCCAGGAGATACTATCCACACAGCAGCTGGTTCACAATAAGAGTTAAGTAAAAGGAAGGGATAATTTTAAGAATATCTTTTAAAGGTATTATGAGGTATTATTTAAGGATACTATACTCATATTGTGAGCCAGCTGCTGTATGGATAGTAGGTCCACTTATAGATGAGGCCGCTGGGGCTCAGAGAGGTTAAGTGAATTGCATAGGGTCCTGCAGCTGGTAGCTAGTCAAACTAGAATTCTAAGTTTATTCTACCTAATGCTAAGGCCTGTACCTTTTCGGCTTACTGAAGTGGCTCTGAAAAAGCTAATCTGAGTACTTGCTGCATCTTGTGGCAGCATTTCGGCAGATGGGACATGATGGGGGTCCCTGAGAAATTCATAGAAGGAACAAATGAGAAATGAAGTCTGGGCGACCTCTGTATTTTCGGGGGAAGGGGCTGTGGAAGTACAGACGGTGATTCGTTACTCTCTTTGTGAGGCCTGCCCCGCTCTGGCCCAAGACTAACTGCGACTTGGGAGAAAGAGTGGACTTCAAAATAGTTTCTTTACTCCTCCTAGAGGTTTGTCTATTCCAGAAAGGCACGGTATGGACAGGCTTCCGGAACCCTCTCTGATGAGCTGATGTTTGCAATGTTGCTGCTTCTGTCTTCTTGACTATTATTCAGCTGCCATCATTCCTGCAGTTACGTTTTTGATTCCCCCTTGCAAACTTACAGACGATGTGAGTCTTCCTAATTCCAGGTGCCAGGAGCTCTCTGCCTGAGGCACACTGCCAGAGCTCATCTACTCTGTGCCACCAGAAACAAGAAAAGCTCTTAGAAAACTGAAGGTATCGTGGTGTTGCATAAAAAAAAAAGACAGTGCCTTAGAAACACATAATACTTTACAGTTTATAATGCATCCTTATACTCACAACAGCCTTGTAAAATTTCATTCTTCCCTGTTACAAATGAGAAAATTGGAGCTCAAGTAGTCAATGTGCCTCCCCTAGAGTCACACAGCGAACGTGAGGCAGAGCGGAGACTCGCCCCGGGTCTCCTGACTGGACAGGCTGTTGCTTTTCTCCATGAGAAAAATATCACAATCATCATTATCATTTCTGAGAAGAGGGAGTGGCTGTATTCAGTGTGGGTAATGCTGTCTTCTTGAAAATCTTCAAGCCAAGCAACTGCACCTTGTTCTAGTTACTGTGCTGGGAACTCATATGTCAAATGACTGGCCTCCTTCCACCTGCCAGGTGCCCCGTGACCCCCTGATTCCTGGCTCCTCGCTCCCGTGCTGTGGGGGCCATGCCGTGCGGGAATGCATCGAGGACGCACGGGGCCGCGGCCACTGGCCACCCTTCCCCTCTCCTCTCTCCTCCCTGGGCTCCCAAAATGGAACACACCTGTCCTTTAATATCTTTTTGCTCTTCTGCCAAAGTGCCTGGGCTCCCCCTAAGGCCTCCTTACTTTGAGTAAATGCTTTTGTGTATGGCTCTGGGAATAGTCTCATCCTTTCTCCCTTTCACATGTTAATGCTCTGATTTACAGCGGCAGTGTTAGATAGAAATATATATATAAATAAGCAAAGAAGTGCCTTGCGCTTTACATTTTGAGGGGTGCCGACTGGTGGGGGCGCGTGGAGGGCCTCTGCAGGCTGCTCCCGGGGACCGCGCTCATTCAGCTGTGGACGCGTGATTTGTGTGGTCTTCTCTATGTGGCTGGACTTCCATGAAAAGGGCCCCACAATGGAGCAGGCAAGTTTGCAGTGGTGGAGAGCGAGGCGAAGGCTAAATGAGTTTCTGGCAGGCCTGCTGAAGAGGGAACCCCCGCACCAGCAAAGAGGCTGCCCTCGATCCTCCGAAGGGCTTTCAGCTCTGACAGCAAAGGCCTGTGGAGCGCTTCATTGTTAGCAATTCCATAGCAGCCCCAAGAAGGCGCTGTTCATAGAGACCTACAGCTGGAGCAAGGATCACAGAGTTCCAGTGGGGGCCTTTGAGCGGGAATCTCCTTAACCTCACAGGACATTTCAGGAGACCTGGTCTCTGAATCCAGGGAGGGACAATGAACAATCTCTTAGGTTATCCTATCACATACATTGACCAAGAAAATCTTAACTTCTAGGTAATCTTTTTTTCTTTAAGACTTAGCAGTCAAATCTGTGAGGTTGGATCCTGCTCACCAACATACTTATATCTTCCTTAAATCTTCTAAGTAGGTTGTTTTCATGGATAGACTTAGTGTTAGCAGTTAACTGTCAGGGCTATCCCTAGCGCAGTGTGAAGTGACTCACTGTTTTCTGGACCTGCTATGTACTTTCAGACTGTTGGACCCCAGCATGTTTTTTCCTATTTTGTTTATCTAGAAAAGCCCTACCCATGTTTCAGGGTGTGGCTAAAAGTTGTGGTGTTGTTTTCTTCTTCTGTTTCTCCTCCCCCTCCCCCTCCTCCTCCTCTTCTGAAGCACTTCTTGCCTGCCCCTGCTTGAGCAAGTGGCCCCTTCTTTAGGGCGCAGAGCATTTTGTAATCACATCTATGAGGATTTACCACTTTGCACAATAGGGGTGCCCTGAGTTTTTCCAAGGAAAACTTAGTTTCTTGTTCCCATTTTAATCCCTAATACCTGACCAAGTGACGGTTATAGCAAAAGCACTTCTGGATAAAGGGGCTACATAAGTCATTCAATATCTCATGCATCGATAAAATACAATAAACTCCTCTGAATGATTCTTTATAATGGTTCTATTTGTAATAGCCAGAAACTGGAAATAACCAAAATGTCTCTCAATAGGTGGATAGTTAAGCAACATGTGGTACATCTACACCAAAAAAGCACAGCTCAGCATTAATAAGGAACAAATGATTGATTCATATAACAACTTGGATGAATCTCAAGGGCCTTATGTGGGGAGTGAAAAAAGTTAATCTCAAAAGATTAACTGTATGATTGCATTAAATAACATCCTTGAGGTTAAAAATTATAGGAATAGAGAACAGACTAGCAGTTGCTAGACGTTAGGAACAGTGTGCACTAAGGTGGCAGGTCAGGCCACAAGGCAGCAGCATGAGGGAGGCCTTCGTGGGGATGCGACGGTCTTGTGTTCGGGTTGTCGTGCGGGCTAGACAAGCGAGCACATTTTGAGAGATGTGCTATTTTGATATCCTGGTTCTGATATTATTGTAATTATGTGGGATGTAACCCTTGGGGGAAACTGGGTGAAGGGTACATGATACCTCTATTTTCTTTGTGACTTCCTGTGGTCTTTTACTTTATTTCATAATACAAAGTTATAAAGTGCTTCTTAATCCATTCTCAAAGGTCCTTTCTACTTTCTGAGCATGTCTATACTTCATAACAACCTTTCTCTCTTCCTACTGATTTACAATGTCGAAGTGCTTCCACATGAATTAAATTGCATCGTTTCAAAATTGCAGCGCCTGCATGATGCAGCTATTCTTATCCTCGTTTTACAGACAAGGAAACCAAAGCTCAGTACTTGTTGACAGGTGAGGTGGCAAAGCTAGTGCTCGAAGTTGACGCAATAGAATTTCTACAGAACTCTTTTCTCACCTGAAAAATAAGGGGATTTGGCCTCTGCGGTGCATCCCACTTTCACGCCATAGGGCCTGTGCCCTGTCTGTGCCCCAGCTGCCCTGCTTCTGCGCCAGCACACGGGCCGGCGGGGTGAAGCAGGGGCTGTGGCCAGGATCTGGGCCTGCAGAGGGGGCAGTGCCATGGGGCGGTGCCCTTTGAAGGGGGGTTAGACTCCACAGATTCTCGTTCTCCGAGGACTATGTATTGTTGGGAAGGGAAGCCCAGTGGCTCGTTATTTTCCCTGTCCCCATCGTCCGGGCTCCTTTCTGCCACACACCCCACTAACCCTAATTAAGGACACTCTCCATGACAAGGAAGTGAGCTGTGAAATGTCTTACCAAGTTAGTGAAGATGTACGTGTAATAGGCTGACACCATCCCTAGCTCCGCTGCCTGCAAAGGGAAGAGAAGGAGATTAGAGAGGAAAGCAAACACCCGCTGGGAGCCAGTGAGCAGTGAGGGCTCCCCATAGCTTAGCCCACTGCCCTGTGGCTCCAGGCAGAGCAGAACATCTTGGTTTGTTCTTGTGTTGCCCTTGGCCTTGAAGGATGGAGCACAAAAATGTAGTTTCCAGAACAGGGCCTCTGCACCCCCACCTCGCTCCCTGCCCCTCCAGGGACATGCACAGCTGATGTTCTCATGCACAAAACATTCCCGTGGATATAAGCAGACATCATGGAAACCAAAATGACTTTAAGGGAAACAAAGTAAATAACGAACCAGACTACAACTATTATCTCCACAACTGTTAACAATAAGATGGCTGCCCTGGGGTGTGGCTCAGTGGACTGAGCGCAGGACTGCGAACCAAAGGCCACCAGCTCGATTCCCAGTCTGGCCCAGGCCTGCGTCGGGGCTGGGTCCCCAGCAGGGGGCGTGTGGGAGGCGACCGCGCACGGATGCTCCTCTCCCTCTCTTCCCCCTCCCTTCCCCTCTCTAAAGATAAATAAACAAACAATCAAATAAATAACATGGCTAACACCCACTGTTTGCTATGTGCTGAGCCCTAGAAAGCACTTTACTTGAATTAACTTGACTAGGTGGGCGCTACCTGTGCTCCCACTTGACAGCTGAAGAAACTTAAACATCAAAAGTCTCTATAACTTGCCCAGGATCACATGTCTCATAAGTGGAAAAGCTGAAATTGAGGTCAAACAGCCTGCACCTCCCAGGTATTAATGGAAACTGTGGTATTCACGGACCTACGGACAGAAGTCTTTCGGGAGCCCAGGCACCGGCGGGAGGCCTGCGAGCCGCAGGCGTCTCAGGCCGACGCCGCCAGTCCGTCCGAGTAGCCGAGTTGGCCGGACGCGCAGTCCGCGGAATCGCTCGCGAGCTTCGGTTCTTCACTACCAGCAGGACATAAATCGCGTGGGACAGGCTTCGCCCCTGGCCGCGGCACCGCTGTGTGCCGCCTTCCCACGGCCGAGGGCTGCCGCTTCAGGACAGGCGCCCCCGAGGGCCCTCGCCGCCATCATAAACGCCTCCTAACCTACCTTCCCGTGGGCGCGCCCGGCTTCGAGTGGGGCGTGTGCCATAGAAACCAGCAAGCGGGTCAAGGAAACAACAAGCCCAGCTCTGCCCAGGGCCCTCGCCCCTCCTGACAGGCAGGTAGATGTTCGAAGTGCGTCCTGCAGCCCTGGGTGGCTGCAAAGCCCTTTCTGTCCTGACTCGTGAGTGAGGTGCAGGCAGAGAAACAAGACCGGGGTGGGGCTGCAGGGATGCTCACATTTTCCTCTTTATCCCCCAAGGGGCTCCGGGAACTCTGTGGGCGTTCTATCAGGAGCCCGCCCCGCCTCCTGCCCGAGCAGCCACTCGAATGGGGAGCTGAAGTGCAGAGGCCCCCAGGACCGCAGCGAGGCCGTCGGAGGGGCCCGGCGGGCCCGAGGCCGCTCTGTGCGGCTCCCCTTCCTCCGCGGGAGCTGCAGTCCCTCCTCCTCTCCGGAGAGGCCGCAAGGGCACGCAGCCCAGCCACCCCACCCCACGCTCACCCTGTCCCACAGAGCGCCCTCCTGGCACGGCTGCCCAGGCTGACGGCGCCCCCTGGTGACGTGGAGGGGCCGGGCGCAGGGGGCTGGGAGGGGACAGCACGAGAAGGTTAAAGCCCATTTTGTGAAATCTGTTCCAAAGGTAAGAGAGGAGAGATCCTTGGTTTTTTAAGACCTGAATTCTGGGTAAACATAAAGCTCATTGCCAGAAAAGCCACTCAATAAAAGTAGGGGATTGTTCTGCAAATCCTGCTGAAATCAAGAGACAGCGGAGCCCAGCCAAGCTCTGGGCCGGGCTCGCAGGCACCTGCCAAGCACCCCGGAGCCCTGTGCTCCCTGCTCCCGCTGCGTCCCCCACTGAGGCCGGCCTCCCAGAGGCCCCTGAGTCTGGGCTGTCGCCCCTGAGAAGGAGCAGCGCGGAGCCCAGGGAAGCAAGCGTGAGGACTGAGGCCAGGCCTGATGCCGGTCTCGCCTGCCTGGGCCACTTGGAAGTCAAATGGGAACAAGAGAATTTCCCAAGGCCTTTTTGGTCATCATTTATAAGTTTGGTTCCAAGGTCACAAGGGCTGAGGCCATATGTGGTCTCAGGAACGTCTGCCACTGGCCGCCCAGAAGGACTGTTTGCTAACAACGGTCATCACAGGCCAAGTTCCCTTGCAAAGCACAGCCATTAGAAAATTAAAAAGCATTCGTAATGAAAATACCCAGTATTGGCAAGGGTGCGCTAAGACACCCATACAATGCTGGTAGGAGTGTAAATTGTATGGACTTTCTAAAAGGTATTCTGGCAGGTTGTATCAAAATCCTTCAAACATGCATTCCTTCCACTCAGAAATTCCACTTCCAGAAATTTATGCCAGAAAAATATTCAAGAATGTGCATCAACATTTATGTACAAAGAAATATATGCATCCCATCATCATTTATTATAGTAAAGACTAAAAATAACCTGTCACTCCAATAATAAAGGAATAGTTAAATAAATTATGGTACATCATGACAGCAAATGATGCAGCCATTAAAACATTCATAGAAAAATATGTAATGACATGGGGAAAATGCATGGCATGTAATTAAGCAAAAATAAAAATATAAAGGTTACAGAGGAATCTGTGCAGGGTGATAATTTAGGGGGAAAATGTGTCTATAAAAGCAGGAAGAGTAGACATCAAAATTTAAGAATGGTAATCTCTGGGTGATAGAATTGTGAGTATTTTTTATTTTATTCTGTGTTTTTCTGTACTTTCCAAAATTTCAACAATAAAATAGACGTATTATTTAAGAGAGAGAGAGAGACAGACAGACAGACAGACAGGGGAAACCCAGCTGCATATGCCGGAAAGCATGAGACCACCCGGGCAAGGCGGCCCCGGGAAGACCCCCGGGGAACTGTTCAGACAGGCTCTCTCCTGTGGCGGAGATGCGCCTTCTGACCTGCCCTCTGCAAGCAGGCTTGGGGGGCATCCACGTCAGTCCCTACTCCCCACCTTTCCTGAGGACTCCTCAGACTACATTTCTTGTGTTCTAAAACTTAGAGGAACTTTTCCATCCTGATGACTTCATTGATCCTAGTCCCAGATGTAAGAGAAGAAAGAGAAGAGAGTAAAAGAGAAAAGTTCTGTGGGTGTGCATGCATGCGTGTATGTGAATTGGACGTATACCTACAGACATGGGTTTGGAGTTGTGAAAAACTGCTATAGCAATGTGCTGAAAGGATAGCCTTCAGTACTCAGAGAACTCACGCAAATCTCTTATTATCTCAGATGAAAACTAGCTGGGGAGGGGAGGTTAGGACAGAGGAAGGGAGGGAGAGGAAGAGGCAGTCTTCTGAGCGTCTGTCGGGCTCCTCGCAGCTTGGCAGAGCTTAGAGAAGAGCCCCGCTCCCCCAGTGACAGAGAGCAGGCTGCTCTTAAGTGCGCCATTAAACTGGCATTAGAAGAGGCCGACATGCCCGAAGGAGCTGGGAAAGCTGCTGCAAGACATGCAGGAGCTTGGAGGCGGGGCCTACTCTACTGGGGTTGCTGCTTAGCCCAGCCACAGCCCCAGAGTTGGTGCCATGTGACTGCAAGGCTGCGCAGCTGCTTCCAGCTGTTTGTCCAGCAGGGATGCCCAGGGTTCTTTCTTTTTCTTTCTTTCTCTGTGTCTGTTCCTGTCTTTCTTGATCCAACCTCACAGAGATCCAGTTTCCACGTGTGGATGTTTAGGTTCAGGGACCCCTCTGAGTTCCAGAGGGGTGGGTAGGAGAAGCCACCTGATATGCTGTGAGAGGCAACTGTGCAGGCTGAACTCTGCTCCTCCCAGGCCTTGAATGATGCTGGTAACCTTCCAGAGTCTCAGTGTCTTTATCTGCCAAGTGAACACGTTATACCTACCTCACGTGGTTACTGAGGGTTACACTGGGAAATTTCACAGTAGCACTTTGTGAACAGTGGCGCACATGTGAGGATTGCATGCAGGGCCAGTATTCAGCAGCACATACACACATGACTGCCCTAGCTGTCCAAATATGGAAATATTTCTATATCGCTTGGCAAACAGCCTCTGCCCTAAACCCCCAAGTATCCCACCCCCACCATCCCAGACCCTCCTAGAAACCCACGAACTTCGCCTCAGAGCCCTTGGCAGGGTCTAGGTTTGGCCAGTGTCTCAGTTAGTGGCAGCCCCACCGCACGGCAACTGTGTATTTTATGACATCTCCCTCACCCTGCTTTCCCTCATGAGCCTTCAGGAGCTGTCCATTGAAACTAAACACACAAAGGTTCACGGGGCTCAGAGGTCCAGCCCAGGGCCCCCTCTGCCTCGGTGCAGGACACCCACAGCAGGGGGCGCCGAGTGCCAGTGCAGCAGGAGGGGAAGAAGGATGCTCATGCCCACCAGCCTCCGCCCCGCCCGGCCCCCACCTTCAGGAGAATCGTGTGAGACAGGGAGGCGTTGGCGTGGATGATGATGGTGGCTGTCTTGTCATCCCGGATCTCTTTGAGGAGTGGGGTAGGGTCCCTGGTGTCATCCAGCATCCGCACTGAGAGCGTGTCCTTGGAGATGAGGAATTGCCGGAGCAGCCTCTCGAGGTTTAAAAGGCCTGGAGGGGAGAGAGGAGGAAGGCCACCTCAGGAGCCACCAGCGGAAGCCCATGGGCCTGGCCCCACTCCACCTGACTAGCAGGTGCATCTTTACCTGAGTAAGTTTCTTGACCTGTTTGGGCTTCAAATATCCCATCTTCAATAAAAAGAGCGCTTCCATGCTTCCACGGCTTCCCTCAACTCGCTCGGGAATGCTCCTTGAAGGGAGGGAGTGCGGTCCGGGAGCCAGACCAGAGTCCCCACCTTCACACAGCCTCAGGAGAAGCACTCCCGCGGGCAGACTTGGGCGCCGAGATCACCAGGCTGCGGGCTCTTTCCCTAACTTAGCCCCTCACTCAGAGTGTGACCTTTCCGTGTGGCCTGGTATCCTGGCCTCGGTGTGTTCCTCTGAGAGATGAGAATAACAACAGCGGCCAGCTCACAGGGCTGTGGCGAGGGTTACATGAGGGAGCACATGAATCCCTCGGGCCCGAGCCCTGCATGGGCAGATGCTCAGGGACGCTCCCCGCAGCTGCACCGCAGCCTTCCTTTCGGTGGAAGTGGGGCCGGGCGCAGGGACCTCAAGATCACAGGTCCAGAAAAGAGGTCTAGCAAAACACTTTGAACTCCTTCCTCAGAGCATAGCAGCTGCATCGGACAAAGTATTGTTACAACGATAAAAGAGTAGGCTGTAAACCGCACTCCTGCAGGCAGTCCTGTGTGCCCAGAACAAAGCAGGAAAACTGGGACTGAGCTGAAGACTCTCCCCTCCTCCCCCTGCTATTTGCTGCCTAGGGGCAGGGGTATAGGAGGGGTTCCAGAATGATCTCACTGAGAAAAAAGAAAGGGTCTTAATTCTGCTTTGTCTCTAAAGAGGTATGTGTTGGGGGGGGTGTTCTCTTGGGAATATAGTGGTCTCAGTCAAGGCCAATGGACACAGACCTACAGACATTTGCTCTTAAAGCAAGTTCAACAGTAACCTTTATTAAATCTTTATTACATTCCAGGTAATGGGCTAAATGTTTCCTGTAGCTCGTCTCGTTTAAGCACTCACAGCAACGGGACAAGGCATCGTGATTCCACAGCACAGGGAACATGAGGCGTGAAGATGAGCCACTCTCCCTCCCGGGCTCCACACGCTGCCTGGAGGCAGAGGGCTGGCTTTCTAACCGGGCCAAGCTCCCTGTGCTCCAGTGTCTGTCCCGGGTGAAGGGCTGTTCAATGCAGGGGGGTCTTGAAGATGACCCAGAGACTCCTCTCTGCTCAGGGAACCAACCCTCTCGACCCTTGAGGATCAGAAGGTAAGAGAATGAGGGGTCGTGAAGAGGATCACATTGTCTTCTTCTTTCTGTTAAGGAGATGACAGGCCTTGCCTGCTTACCCAGGGGCACAGCGGGTATCCGAATTCCCACTTTCTCATCGCCATCCAGCCCTCCCCCCACGAGATCAGTCTGCCTCTTAGGACCAAACTCATAGGAGGCAGCAGGCACAGAACCGAGGGAGGCCCGGGATGTTTTCTCTGTACCTAGGCAGGAAAACATACACTGCTGTGTGTGTGTGCGTGTGTGCGTGTGTGTGTGTGTGTGTCTGTGTGTTTTCTCTCTGTTTCTTTCACAAGGAAAAGGCAGCAGGGTGGAGCCCAAGGGCCTGGCCTGATGGAGGCAAGGAGCTCTGGGAAGGCAGTGCCAACCCTCTGTCCCCTAGTCATGAGGTCTGAGAAGTGTTCCAAGGAGCTGGAGGATGGGGGATGGGACGGGGGGGAAGCTTGGGAGGGCCTGTTATTCACAAAGCAGCTTCAGAAACAGCGCAGCTGTGCAGGCTGCAGAGCAGGGTTGACTGCGTCTTCCTTCCCCAGCAGGGCCTCCGCAGACTGCGGACTTGTAAGGCTCTGCCGCTGCCTTGCACCCCTCTCCATCCCCCTCCACCAAGCATGGGCATGATGTCGCCAGGGCACTTCCTGCCAATCCCTGATGCAGAGGATGTGGGCTCAAGCTCAGGGTCAGCCCTCACTGGCTGTGGACCTTGTCAAGCCATCTAACCTCTTCACGGCTCCATCTTCATCTGTCAGACAGACGTAACAGGCCAGGCCTCCGCGAAAGCCTGCGTGAACGTGTGCTGGGCCCTGGAAGATGGAGTATCAACGTGACTCCTTTTGTTTTCACTCAGCCATACAAGAGTGCTAGGCACGGGGCCAACAAAATGCCAGAAGAGAAGACGGGTCCGATGCAGACCCTGCCCTCCAGGAGTGCCGAGCCCAGGGGCTTGCCGCGGAGGCTACGGGGAAGTTCAGCTCATGTCCCTCTTTCTTTGATTGCCTGATCATCTGGTTTTCTAGGGGCAGCCACATTTTGTCCTATATGTAAAATGGAGAGAATATTCACTACATCTTACTGTTGATGTGAAAAGCACAAAAAACACTATACCCAGGAGCCATTCTTCCGGAGGAGGCCACAGAGAGGGAGCTCCTAGAGTCCCAGCCGCCCCCCTGGCTGAAGGGAAGCTCGGCCTGGGCGTGCGGCCGCCGGAGCGGAGGGGGCGCGGCCGTGGCGGAGTGCTGGGCCCTGGAATGTGGCAGGGAGACTCTCTGGAGTGGGGCTGGAAAGAGGCCCACCCCCCTGGGGTCGCTCAGTGTGGGCTATGAACTTCAGTGGAATGAGACAGGAGACCCTCGGGGACGACGGCAGGATCAGGTACAGCGCAGGGACGCCTGGCGGAGGCAGCCCAGGGACGCGCCACCTCTTCACAATTGGCTGGTGCTCTGCGCTCCCGGGAACAGAGCCTCCCGGGGGCTCCGTAAACTGAGGACCCAGCTGCTGTCCACTCCCCGCACGCTCTTCCCACTGTCCCTGGGGGTGCTCGCTGCCCTTTAAACAGAGGAGCTGCACCCTTCCCCCACGCCACGCAGCTGACACGCAGAGTAGGGACAGCTTAGGGGAAGGGCAGTGAGTCTGGGGAGGTCTGCACCCGCTCCCACGGGTTACTCCTCTCCCCAGCCCGCACCCCACCTGGGCAGCAAAGAGAGCACAAGGTCTGGTGGTGAACCCCAGCTCTCGTGCTGCCAGGTAGTTAGTGTGGGCGATTTCTTATCTGAAAATAAGGATAATAGCCGCCTTACAGGGTTAGTAGGAGGATGTCAAGTAAGCAGAAGAGTGCCTGTCTCCTAGAAGCCACTTCACAAATCTGGTTTCCAGTCATCCCCTCCCTGACTTTCATATCCTAACATCCTTCACACCATCTCCCAACTTTTACAAAATTTATTATCTAACCCACGAAATACAGCCTTTGGCTATGTCAACCAGTGGCCATAGGTGCCAGTCCACCACCAACAGGAAACCCCAACTCGGGGTGCTGTGAAGAAGGAAACTTTATGCAGTGCAAGCAGCTCGGTGGTAAAATAGCACTGTCGTGGAGCAGCCCAATAGCGCGGCAAGAGGCTTCCCTGGGGCCAGAGGCCTCTTCAGCCGGGCAGCTCGGCTCCTCAATGGTCTGCTCTGCTCCAGCCTGGGAAGCGTAGCCCTCCCTCAGTGGGAAGTGCGCCCTAAAGCCCCTGGGGAGCTGGCTTATATGAACCGCAGTCCAGGCCCCTGGTCCCTGATTGGTCTGTCCTCATGTAAATGACAATGACAAATCCTCACAGTTTGATTAGTCCAAAGACAATGTTCTGACTGGTGAGAACAGAGCTGCTCTGATTGGTCAGAGCTAAGCAGCTCAGACTGGATGGGGAAGCCTCAGTCCTACTGGTTGAACTAGGATTCCCAGGGCTCCTCCACGAGGGCCGGCAGCAACACCGAGCAGGGTGGCATTTTAGCAGGCAGATGTGGGCAGTGCGGGGCACGGGCTTCCCCGTGAAGGGGGTTTGCACGGGAGGCTTCTGTGCAGAAATAGCAGCTCTGTTTTTTCTTTTCTTTTTTTGAGCCCAATTAGTTACCAGGAGCCCTTAGGTATCTTTTTATCCTTTCAAGGTTCACAGTTATAAACCATGTAAAATATTTTATACCATACACATATGTGTGTATATATATATACATACTCATATACTCATATATATACTAATTATCTCCTCATGCTGGGTAGGAGTCCCATTCAAACTTCTCTGCACAGCCCCAGTGTTAGGCAGGGTCAGGGTGCTTGCTGGTGGGCTGAACTACAGACTGTAGGGCGAAGGAAGTGACCCTCCTAGGCCAGAGGAACAGCAGTACTAGGCAGGCAGCAAACACTGTCACGCGAGGGGCAGCTGGAGGCACGGTGTGCCTGGCCCGAGGAAGGGCAGCGAGGACTGTCACAGGACACACGTGTTCTTGGAGCCTCAGGAACTACTCCAGGAATTATGAGTGGACAGAAGTCACAAGAAGGCAGACTTAGCTCAACAGAAAAAGACCGTCCATTCAAGGTGTCTAAGGATGCGGCGGGTTGCATAATGAGGTGATGAGTTCCCAGTCACTGGAGGTAACCAGGGAAAGGCTGAAGCGCCTCTTGAGGACTGTTGTACAAGGGATTAAGCCAGTGGATGAAAAGTTGAACTAGAAGAATATTGACATATTTCCAGCCCACAAATTCTCCAGTTCTATGAATCAGAAGGGGACACTTTCTTTTTTCATTCTAGGCCGTAGAAGAAATTTGCAGAAGAGAAAGTGTGGTTTAGTTACATTAAAAATATTAGCAGTTTTTTCATGCAGTTTGACATTTTCCAATCGTCATTCTCTTCACTTCTATCTCCTTAGTGGAACTAAGATTCACCACAGGTAGCTGCTACCAGAGGGGTTAAAAGCTCTTCTCCCCTGGCTCCCCTTTCGCCCCCACCCCAGCCCTCGTCTCCAGCAGGACTCCTGGCCCAGCAGCAGGTCTGCTTGCCGAGCCCAAGGCTGTGAAGGACCTGGGGAACCTGTCGCCTCGCTCCTGATGCAGTGGGATGGATCAAAGAGAGAAGAGAGACTTGGCAGGCCGGCTGCGTGGGGGGAAGGAGGGAGGCCAGCTCGGGAACTGCAAGGCGGGGCAGGAGGAGGAGGGGGCGCTGCAGGAG